CGGGGCTGCCGGAGGAGAGGGACCGGAGGAGAGGGGCCGGAGGAGAGGGGCCGGAGGAGCGGGGCCGGAGGAGCGGGGCCGGAGGAGAGGGGCCGGAGGAGAGGGACCGGAGGAGAGGGACCGGAGGAGCGGGACCGGAGGAGCGGGGCAGGAGCAGCGGGGCTGCCGGAGCTGGACTGGCCGGGGCCCGCCGGGGTCCCTGCGCCCGCTCCGTGCAGATTCAGGAGGGATGGGAGCACCGCGAGGTAGAAGCAGTTTCGCTGTAGCTGCAAATCCCTTGGGAAGAGTTCCAAGGGTAGAACTTCACCAACTCGTGGGTTTTCAACTACTTTTTTGAGGCTGGACTCTTGTAGATTCTATATTCGTTAGTGCTGTAAGTGGTTGTAAGGGAAATGACATTCCATGTAATTAATTTTAGGAAATTTTATTCTTCAGTCATTTACATTTCAGATGTGTTTTAGAAATTGGATAAAACCTTAGGCTTTTAAAAACAAATGTGCAACTCTCAGGAGATACTGTTGTAGCCGCAGAAATAGAATCTTCTGAAACAAGTCCTTGCAGAATCACAGAACAGGTCAGGGCCCACAGCTGGTCATCTGCTCCAGCCTGCCTGCTCAAGCAGGGCCATCCCAGAGCACAAGGCACAGGATTGTGTCTAGATAGTTCTTGAATATCTCCAGTGAGGGAGACTCCACAACCTCTTTGAGCAATCACGTATCTCTTTCTGTTACCTGCTGAATTCTGTCTAAAGTTAAATGAAAGGCAGGATGGTGTGATGTTCCCAGGATTTTGGAGCAAGGATGGAAGATGGCAGCTGGAATTGTCAGGGCCCTAAGCACAGGTCGCATCCCCTGAACAGCTTCATCCAGGGCTGTACCCTTAGCCCTGTTTCATCTCTGCCCTGAGCCCCCAGTCCCTGCCCCAGCTGAGCCATGAGCCTTGCCACCAGCCCAGCCCTGGCTCTGTCTCCTGGGTGGACCTTGGACTTCTGCTGTGTCCAGCCCTGTCTCTGGCCCCATCTGCTGCTGCTCCTGCCTGGGCTCCCTGGGTGGACCCTGGACCTGCCTCAGCTCCACTTTTGTGGGGCATTCTCGGTGAACTCTGCTTTGCCCACCTCGTTCAGGTCTGTTGGGCCTCTGTCCTGCTCCCTGGGAGCTCTGCCCATGCTGCAGTCACCCTCACTGTAGAGCATTCACCCACTGCTTCCGGGCAAGGACTTGTATTAGAAACAGTTTTTATTTTTAAAATAAAAATTATTCATCTGTCAAAATAGAAGTCACATGAACATGAATAGAAGTCAAATAGAACATGAAAATGAAAACTTGAGTTTTAATGGATGAGATATAAATGCCTTTCTTTTAAAATTACATGTATTCTGCTTATTACTTATTTTTCCCCAATGAAAATTTCTTAGACCAAGAACACCCTCCAAAACTTTCTGTGACTGTAGCGCAAAAACACCCTCCAAAACTTTCTGTGACTGTAGCTTGTGTATTCCCTGAACAAGCTTACTGAGCAAATCTTCCAGGTGTGTAGTTTGCCAAATGTTTCATAATTCTCTTACTATTTTATAGTTGCCTTTAGGCAGCAGAAATGGAAAAGCTCTGTCTCCATACAAGCAAAAATGCCTCCTTGTGATTTTGTACCTGAAAAATATGAAGTAAGTCATGCATACTACACTGAATTTAAATAAAGCTTCATTACTGGGTTTGGGTGATAGGCTCATCTGCTAAATATGATTATAAAATTTGCTTCTTTGGGCAAAACCCCACTGCTATGACCTGGATATAACCTGTAGATTTACCTGTGTGACAAATCTGTAATTTGAAAACATTTAAGAAAGAGTTGTGTGCAGAACAGCAGTCTTATTTCAAAAAGCTGTGTTTAAGAGGTTTGTAGAACAGCTTTCTATGTGCCAGAATCTGCTACAATCTAAATCCTGTAGACAGCTGTGTAATCTGTGTGCTCCACAGCAGCTCCATGAGTCTGGATTTTTAGGAGGTATGGATGGATACTGACTGTTTTATTCCACTCAGTCCTATCCATATGAACGTGTGCAGAAGATCCGTGAACAACATGTTGCTCCTTCTCTGCGAACGTATTACAAGAAACCATTGCTGCTGCACCAGGGACATATGCAGTGGTTGTTTGACCATAAAGGACGAAGATATCTTGATCTCTTTGCTGGAATTGTCACTGTCAGTGTTGGACACTGTCACCCGTAAGCATGTTGCTTTTTGATTTATGGTATAAAATACAGGAAGAGACACCTAAGTTTGTTTTGTGCTTCATTAATCTGCAGCACTGTGAGCCTAGAACCAGAATATAATTTACTGAATTGTCATGTGTCACAGTTAGTTAAATTTCTGCTGCATTTTGAAGAATTCATTATTTTGGTCTACTTGTTCCTCCATCTGGCACACGGTGCAGCATCTGTGTTTGCAGAATCAATAGCACAGAGATATGTGCATGTGTGAGTGTGGAGCCTGTGTGGAATTCAATCCCTTTGTCTCTCCCTTGCTACATGCAGGAAGGTAACTATGGCTATCCAGAAGCAGCTGGCTCGCCTGTGGCATACCACCAATATCTACATGTACCCAGCAATCCACGAGTATGCTGAAAGGCTAACTTCTCTTTTTCCAGATCCACTGAAGGTAAATTGCTTCTGACAGGAGCAGGGGCTGGTGAAGTAGGTGTCTGTTTATAAGAAGTATTTATTAAATAATCGAGAGCCATGATATCTCTGGAGAGAAAATCTGTATGGGGAATACAGACTGTGAGTTAAAGAGCGTGAGGGGCCTCAGGGCATTTTCTTTAGACCTAGCTGCAAACAAGCATAATATTCCCAGTTTCTGTTCTGTTTGTTTCTTCCTTTCATTTGTCACTGTGAAGAGGCATTGCCAGCTTAAAAATTACATGAAAGGAACGAAGAAAATGTTTACTATTCTTACAGGTAGCCAGCCTTAATTTTCTTGATCTCATGAAAATCTACAGTGAAAACTGTTTGACAGTATATTGTGTAGTATGTGTAAATGTTTACCAACATTTAAATAGTCAAACCACAAAAATGTTTCACAAACACATGTCATGTTTCATCTTCAGTGAAACAGTAAGAAAAATAATTTTTGATTTCAGGTGAAATAAATTGGTGGTGAGATGAAATTGGGCTATCAGAAGAGTATGACGCTACTACAGTCTTAAAGATGGAAGGAGAGTAAAAAAAATTTTTTTAAATGTCCTGCTCAGTTTGACCCAACACTTTCATTTCTTCCAATCAGAAATCCATTTTAGGAAAACCTGTAAACTGAAACCCTTTGAGATTTTTCTGTACCTTCCCAGAGCATATCAGTTGGATCTTTGTTCTCATCTGGGGCATAAGGACAACGCTAATTTTATCGTGGTGAGGTTGCCCTGTGGCAGTGCTAGGCTAGAGTGCATCGTGCTATTAGGGGACATGGTCTGATGCCAGAGAAGAAGGTGGTTTTGTGCTGTACTGACCCCAAGTGTTTTCCCACAGGTGGTTTATCTCACCAACAGTGGGTCAGAAGCCAATGATTTAGCTATGTTCATGGCAAGGGTACACACTCGTAACTTCGACATCATCTCTCTCAGGTAATGCCGACAGAGCTTCACAAAACTCCTCTGTGTATGGGATCACTCTACATGTCTAAAACAAGAAATAACTTTCACCCCAGGTCTGCAGAGGAAAATGCTATAAAATTACTTCATTTGACAAAGAGGAGCAAACCAGGAACTGAAGTTTTCATACATGTTAGGACTAGTTTGCAATAAAAATGCAACCTGCAATTTTTGCTTGTGTTACCAAGAAAATGATCTGATGTCTGTGTTTAGGGTGTGTTTTGGTAGACTTTTGTTCATGGCCAGACCAAGACTGAGCAACTGCTCCATTCTTCCTCCGTTTCCCTTCTGCAGTGCCCCTTGGTGAGGGGTGCAAAGGTACCTCTGGAATAGCAGTGCACTGAACCTCAGCAGGGAACTGCTCCGCCTGGAAGTCGATTTTTGTTTTGTTTGCTTTGCTGCCTTGTTTTTCTGTCAGAGCCCTGAACCACAGTTCACTACACAGATACACAAACAGCTCTTCTGGCTTAATGACAGGGATGGAGCTGGGATGAACAGCAGTACACTGTAATCACCAGCATAAACAGTTCACTTTACCTCAAATATTAGAATAAAAGGCCGTGTTAATGAAGAGATGTATTTTTCTGTTACTATGTTCAACAGAACATTGGGTACCTACCTTGCTTGTATATTCTCACTAAACAGTTTTAATTTGTATATAAATCAAATCATAGCACAATCTAGTTTAATGATTGGCAGCATCTATTGGAGATAACTGTTGTTGCCAAGATTCAAAAGACAGAGGTGTTTCCTCTGTAGGGATCAGGTACAGATTCTGCTACAGCAGAACTCCACAAGGCACTGTCTGAATTACTGTTGGTTCCAATGATTGTACTCATCTCCTTACAAACATTTCTTCACAGCTTTTATATTTGAAGTTGCAGTCAGAGTCAAAAGGCAGAGGGAAAAATGGCAGTAGGAATAATTTTTGTTCTAACATGTTTCATTAGTTTCAACAATGCACATTTTTCCCAACAATTTGTAGCTCAGAACCATGCCTTCTCAGAACTGATATTGCTCCAGACACTTCTTGGAAATGAGTGATGTTGATTTGCTTTCTTTGTTTGAACAGAGGAGGATACCACGGAGGCAGCCCTTACACGCTGGGTTTGACATCTCTGACTCCTTATAAGCATGGTGTTGCCAATGGCTTTGGCTGTACATCTGTGAGATTATTTTTAATTTTTTTTTTTAAAATAATCTAGGTAACTAACAGTTTATTTGAATATTTCAGCAATTGCTGTGTTTTCTGCCCTCAAGCACCTTATGGTCACTAATCAAAGCTGCAGTGTAGCAGTTTATGCTGTGTAAATTCAACAAGAGCCAGAGTCCCCTTTTCCCCTCAGGCTAATTTTAAGTTAGGACAGCCACAACACGAGTGACCTGTGATTTGCATTTCTTCAGTCATGCTTGATGCTTTCATGGAAATCTGTGTAAGGAACAAAATAATGTTCTGAACCCCTTTTTTCAAGTTTGTTTTGTGCAAAGCTGCTTTCAGATGGTCTGGAGCAGATCCTTCGCTACAGTGAATAGGAATCCTATTTCAGAAAGACAGGAGACATGTCTGCTAAGGAGATCCACTGAGGTTAAATGGCGATATGCTCTTGAGCAGACTGGAGTAACTTTCTGTCTAGAAGCTGCAGGTGACAGCTCAGCCACATTATTAACCATAGGTAGGCTCATTTACAGCAGCTTCCCAGCCAGTGAATGGCCTGAACTCACATAGTGTTTCAGCAGCAGCAAGGATTAGAAAGCTGGAGTTGTCCCTATTAGGTTTGCCTGCCTCACTCTGTTTTGCAGATTTTGTTCATACTTCAGATTACTGAAATGCTACCAGCAATTCTTAAAATGCTGGTATTACATTTAGATAACCAATATCCTGACCAAGAACAAAAAAGGGAATAAAAAGTCAGTTGAGTTACTGTTGCTGGAACAGTCTAAACTTGTTGGTTCCAAAGCTGTCTTGGTTATCTGGTGCTACTTGTTCTTCAGACAAGTTTCTTGAACTTTGTTTGCCCCTTCACTGTGACAGCTGTTTTTCTGTTTTGCCATTAGTCATTAGATCAAAAGATCTCTTAGAAGGGTGTCATCAAATCTGTAGCTATTTCTCTTATGCTTGACAGACAATGTTACCAGATGTTTTTCGTGGTCCATGGGGAGGCAGCCACTGTAGAGATTCACCTGTGCAAACTGTTCGAAAATGCAACTGTACTGAAGGTTGGTCCATGACAAAAATTTGGGTTTTGGATTACAAAATACTAGAGGGCTACTCTAATAAAATAAATAAGTGAAAATAAGTTATAGTTACCTCTTCAAGCAAAGCAGATGTCTGGTTAAGTTCTGCAAGGCTGAACAAAAAAAAAAAAAAAAAAAAAAAAAAAAAAAAAAAAAAAGCAGAGAATCTCAGGACCCTGCATTCCAATGGGAAAAATCTGGGACAGAGGACACCACATTCTCAGATTTCTTTTTGAAATCCCACTGTTTGTTTCCACTGTTTGTCATGATCAGCTCTGGAAGCTGTGGAAATCACTTCAGCACATCTGGAAGAGCAGAGGTGTTGGTGGTGTTATTTTGCTGACAGCTTTCAGCTTTTATATTGGAATAAGGCAAATAGTAAGGACAGCCTGCAGCTAGCCATAGGCAGAGGTTTTTCATGGGGCAAAATGTTCCATACACAGGACAGTGTGAAATCTCCTCTACTGCAAATAACAAAAATTCCAATCAGTTTTTCTACTGTTTCAACAAGCACCTTTTATTATTTTAATTCATATGCATATGTAACAGAATGGTTTGATTTTAGCTTTGCCATCCCTAATGAATGGCAGCATTAGCCATACTACTTGCTCTGTTCTTGATTTAAGCACAGACTATGCTCTCCAGAATCCTCCTACCTGCACTAACCTTGGAGTACACACGGTTTAAGGAGACTCTCCTTTAATGTTTACCTTTCTACTGTTAATTTGAGGGGCGATATTTACTATGCAGTCATACAACATTTGTTGCTTAGATGAATAGTTTCATGTTTTAAAGCTAGTTTTGTGTCATATTAAGTAAATTCCCTTCAAACTGTTTCCCCTGTAAACAGGTTCATGTCTTGCAAAAGACCAGTACATCGAACAGTTCAAAGACACTCTGAATACCTCAGTGCCCAAGACAGTAGCTGGATTTATTGCTGAACCAATTCAAGTAGGTAGTTTGCCATTTTTCAGTTGTGATAGCACAAGTAGTGTGAAATACTCAAATCTGATATTCTTTAGCTGCAACCTGAACATAGATGTTTGCTGATTTTTACTGTGATTTTTAATGCTTTAAACACCTTAAATGTTTCAAACACTGGATGCACTGCCTTCAAATTTCAGCTTTTGTCACTGACTCCAATGGAACTAGGATTTTTCTTGTGAAATTAGACACAGACGCATTTTTTCTGCAGTTAAATAGTGAATGTGATGCATGCTATGGTTTGGCTTCTATTATCTCCTTTCAATTTTCATTACTATTTCTGTAAACTTTTAACTCAACCCCCCTTCTCCCTCTTTTAGTCATGTTGTCCCCTGATGGCCACTGGACTCATTCTCCTTATGTTTTACCCTATGTTCACAATTGTTTTATATGTGATTCTTCAATAGGAAAAATGGAGAACTTATCCAGGGCAAGAGAAACAGTGTAAGAACTGTGATTTCAAGGAAAAACTGGAGCAATTCTCTGGTTTTGCTGTTTTCAAAGCACTTACATACTTGTTGTATGTATGATTGGAAAACATGTTGCGGTCCAGGTGTAGGTTAGAATTGAATTTCCAATGCAAATGCAAACTATCAAGGTGAAAAGATGTTGAGGAGGCAATGTTCTAAACAAATTAACAAAAGAAGGAATATGAATTCTCTGGCCAACTTCATCAGCAAACCGTTTCTGGGTTTTGCTATGTGTAGATTTTCACAGCCCTTGTTTTGGCAGTTTATTGTTAATTTTATTTTTGTTAATTTAATTAATATTGTCTTACAGTGATCATGGCCTCACAAACATTCATGCCAGCACAACTAACAGAACAGCAGGCAGCACTGTGGAATGGGAATGAGTGACCTGAGCAGGAGCTTTCTGAAGTGGTTTCATTGCTGGAGCAAGAACCTTGAAGCAGCAGTCCTGCTGTTACCTGAGGGTTGCTAGGTTTTTTTGTCAAGTAGAACTCCTGTTTCCTTATTTGTTCCTGAAAACATTGTGTTTTTCTCTTGGCAGGGTGTTAATGGAGCTGTTCAGTACCCAAGAAATTTCTTAAAGGAAGCTTATCAGCTTATACGGGAAAGAGGAGGCCTTTGCATTTCAGATGAAGTGAGTCAGATTTTTTTATGTGAGAATTCTAGAGTTGGGTATCTCTGAAATTATCATAAAGGGCTGGAGGTCTGGAAATAATCTAAGTGAAATGCAATACACTTCATATCTTAAGTTTAATACGGTGTTAAACTGCATGTTTTCAAGCATAGGAACCTCAGTTTTTACTGCCTTTATTCTCATTTTGGACAAAGGTAATATTTGTAGCAGACTTCAGTCCTTACCTTCTGGGGGCAGTGAATTTGCATAAATATGCAACCAATGCTACTTGTGATGGAAGATTTGTCAAAATAACCCTTCCGTTTATGAGTATTTTTGACAGACATAGACTACAGAAGAGAGTTGATTGCTGTACCTCTGCAAATATGTTTTAGAAGCAGAATTTTCTTAGCTAAAAAAATATTAAAATAGTATCAAATGCTTCAAATACTTTTACTTTTCCTCCCACTTTGAAATGGAAGCTGCATCTTATTTATCTTACCAAGCCTAAGACATGATTGCATGTTATCACATGAAAGAAAAACCCAATTACAATAAATAGCATTTTGTGTAGAACCATCTGAATAGGGCTGCTAATACAAGTTGAGTCCAGATGAAGTTGCTGTTTAATGCAAACCAGTAACAGTTGAAAGACAAGGAAAGAAACTATATTACAAAATGTGAGAAAATGATGAGCGTTTCTCTGAATTTTTCCTTTGAAAGGTACAGACAGGATTTGGACGGACAGGCAGCCATTTCTGGGGGTTTCAAACACATGGTGTAGTCCCTGACATCGTTACTTTGGCAAAAGGAATCGGTAATGGCTTCCCAATGGCAGCTGTCGTTACAACAAAAGGTACAAGTGTTCTGTTCTTCTATGACATAAAACAGAGTAATTGCAATGTAGTTGTGTAACTGAAGCAGGAATGGAGTTATGAGTGGTTTGTAGGGCTGGAAAAAGAGCCTGGAAATCATAACTGAATTCACTGATAAATATACTGTGAGTAAATAGGGTAGGATGTTACCCAGCTGCTTGATTCCTACAAGTGGCTGGCTCAACCTAGTGAGGAAAATCTGTAGATGGCAGGTGAGAGCTTACGTTAGAAGCATGACTTTTAGAAGTTTTGTTTTGGCATCTGCTAGGCACTATATTTTTTGGAAATACTCATATTTTGCACAGACTGCTTTAAGGAAATCTTACTGTGTCTCCAGCAGAATCAGAGTTGAACACAGCAAATGTAATTGTTGTTACAGTAACAAATGTTTAAAGCAGTAAGTACAGTTACCAAACAAGGCAGAGGAGGCCACTATGATGATTAGAGGGACAGAGCACCTCTCCTAAGAAGAAAAAGCTTAGAGAATTGGGATTGTTCAGCCTGAAGAAGTCTTTGGGGTGACCGATTGTGTAAGAAAAATGGAGAGGGACTTTTTACAAGAGCATGGAGTAACAGGACAAGGAAGAATGGCTTTGAACTGAAAGAGATTAGGTTTAGATTAGATATGAGGAAATAAAATCTTTACAGTGTGGGTGCCGAGGCACTGGCACAGGTTGCCTGTAGGAGCTGGAGATGTCCCATCCCTGGCAGTGCTCAAGGCCAGGCTGGATGGGGCTCTGAGCAACCTAACCCAGTGGAAGGTGTCCCTGCACCTGGAAGAGGATTGGAACTGGCTGATCTTTAAGATCCCTTCCAACTCAAACCATTCTGTGATTCTATGAACTGAAGGAGTAACCGGTGTTGTTCTTTTTCTTTTAGAGATTGCAAGTTCCTTGGCTCAAAACCTTCACTTTAATACGTTTGGAGGAAACCCTCTGGCCTGTGTAGTTGGAGCTGCAGTTCTTGATGTAGGGAGAACATTACATAAATTTATCTATACCACAAGTTCTTTGTATCGAAAGATGAAGATTGCAAGTATAAATTTCTATGTGGGCGATTTTTTAAGTAACTAAGTAAAGAGCATAAACATGGCCAGTGTGCCCCATTCACAGGAAAAAATCCTGATTAGTTTAATTGCAAAAATTTTCAGATCTCTAGAAAGAGTGGGAGCCCTGTAATTATGACTTCAGAATCATCTTTATCTCCTTTGGGTTCTTTACTTGGTTAATGAAATTGTAGGAGATTACTTTCTCAAAAGCCTTAGCTAATTCTTTCACAGCACTACACAAATCCATAGCTAAAGCAAATCTATTTTCTGGCACACATGCTTAACAAAATTTTTTTAACGGAAAGGCTTTTGCCTTATGCTTAAAAAAACCTTAATGACCAGACAGTTACAAATACCTAAGGTCAGAAATCCTTTTGGGAAAAAAAAAAATTACCTCATGAAAAAGAAAATAGAAAAATGTGCAACACATTTCACTTATTATCCAGTAGAAAATCTATTACTAAGATGGATGACTGTATAAAGAACCCATGTTTTGGGTTTTTTTGACTCCGAAATAACTTGAAGCCTGGCTCTGAAATAATCCAAGGAGGTTGTTAGAGTCAGCAAGAGTAAAATGGAGTTGAAAGAAAAAAAAAAAAAGAAAAAGAAAAAAAATAGAAACAACCACTTAATCATCTGTAATTAGTTTTTAAATGTAATTTTTCTAAAAACAGATGTTAAGTTTATGTAATGGTTTGTGTGTAGGTGCCAGTACGTGCCTGAAAATAAGAGCTCTGATTAAGAAGGACAGTGCAAAGTATGAAGAAAAGATTGTTATTAGAAAACGTGTTGTTGCTAAATATACTATAGTACTCAGGCTGTTCTCTGCTAACACACACAGATAAGCCTTGGCTTTTATTATTTAATTATATTCTTCTCATGATACTGAAAAAAAAATAAAATATTCTGATAAGATTTTGAAAATAATCTTTCTGGTCAGGTATTTCCCAGTTATGAGTACACGTGAGCAGGAATTACTGGTTTAAATGTAAGTAATAAGAAAAATGTGAAAAGTCCCAAAGAAACATAGAATTATTATGTGAAATTGTATTCTGATGCTGGTAAGAGCATTTAAGAAAAGGGAAATGTGAGCATTGATGTAGTCAATGAACATAGCAAGGAAGTGAGATAAATATAGTGTCAGTGGGGATTAACAGAATGTTTTGAAAGCCTTTCCTGCAATGCTGTCATGGTACTTCATTTTAACCAGGCTATTGAAGAAGACGGTCTACAAAGAAACAGTGAGGATGTGGGAACATACATGCTGCTGGAGCTGGCTAAACTACGGGATAAATTTGAGATTGTTGGAGATGTCCGTGGCAAGGGACTTATGGTTGGAGTAGAAATGGTGACAGATAAGGTTAGTGGCTTCTTCATTCCTTACAATTTACAGTGCCATTGAAAGTTTTATCACATTTTATTTCAGCTGAAATAGTATTTCCTGTTAAAAAGCAGACAGTGAGGTGGGAAAACATGGCTCTGGCTAAAAATGAGCCAGAACGTTCCATCATTCAGCTATTTCACAAGCTTTGAGTAAACAGTGCACCTTAACTGCACCGACTCATGGGAACAGATAAGTTATGCAGCTAACATTTTCAGCCAGAGGCGAGATTTATTGGAGAGACTGGAATATACATCTTTGTCACAGAACTAATTTGGAATATCTAAGTGAAGTTTAGTATTTTCTTCCCTTAGGACAGTCGATGCCCTCTTCCAACTGAAGAAATAAATCAGATTTGGGAAGACTGTAAAGACATGGGTGTTCTGATCGGCAGAGGAGGGCTCTACAGTCAGGTACTAAACCTCTGGTTATAAATAAAGCTTACTTTCTTGTCGAGATGAAAAATGAGCAATGGGATCAGCATGCTATTTAAGATGATTTATTGCTCAAGTTAGCCCGATATCAGTCTCGATATCGTGGGACATCAAAGGCGTGAGAATTGGAGAGCAGCAACAATCAGCCATAGCTTAAAGGTAGTCACAGGTTTCTTCTTCACACAGCAATATGTAACATTTTGGTCCAATGTTAACACAAACTTGTTTCTACTTAATAACCTATCACCTTTGCTTAATTTTGCTGCATCGTGTCTGTCTTTCAGCCAATAAACTGATAGGTCATGTACCCCCGCACACCTCTATTATAGCTTCTAGATCCTTATCCTACCCTGTAAGTCACATTATTACAGCTTAAACCTTTCACTATTTTAACTAATATAATTTCTTACTTACTCAAGGCATATTCTTACTTATAACTATAGGAACATAAGTTCATAATTTTTCTGCTTAATGTTTGTGTACCTTTATCATCTCATTAAGCCAAGCTCTTTCCAAGGCTGCAGATTGAACCCTTCAGCATCTGTGAAGTTTCTATTTTTCCATTTCCCACATTTTCTGTCCTTGTGAACAACATCCCCACTTCCCTCAAGTTAAATTAATTTAGTTTAGTAAATAAACTAGAAAATGTATACTGTTAGGAGTATATACTCTATCTCTGTTTAATGCTACTGCTTTTAAAATTGGGCAGGAACTATTTGATTCTTTTCAAATATTCTGTAACAAACTCAAGTTTTCCTTTAGAGGGACAACTTCCTCTAGAAAACCAAGGTTTTCTTCTTCTTCTTTTCTTCTTCTATTCAATTAGAAGAACTCAGCAATACTCAGGACCAAGTCTTTGCACAGTTCAGGTTATCACCTGACACATCAGTACAAAACCAATAGTTCTTTGAGACTGGGGAGCTGGTAATGTACTAATTCTTTGATAATAAAGGAGAAAAAAAAGGCGTTGACAGCAAGTTCAGCAACAGCACAAAAGAGAGAATTGGATGTGAAGGCCATCAGCCCATCCCAGCTGAGGATGTAGTTCCTGCTGTAGCCAGGACACTGCACCATTTCCCTACAGCACTCAGTTAATGGCAGAGAATTGCCTCAGGGCTGGCCTGGTCAGTGACACAGAGGAGGCAGCTTCTATTTGAGATGGATGGAGGGTAGCTGAAATAAACCAGACTGTGTCTGCTGTGTCTGTCACCTCAACAGGTCTTCCCTAAGTCACAGATCAGGAGACAGGTAACAAGCTGAAGCTCAGTGCTGTAAAGTCTCATTCTGTCTGATGAAAGGGCTGTTTATCTGTGAGTGTTTGCTTCAGCAGGGGCTGTGGGTGGGAAAGCCCATTATTCCACTCTTACTGTATTAAGTCCTGTGATGTGATGCCAGAAAAAAATCTGAAATTTAAGATTCTTATGGAAGATAAATAATCTTAAAAACCTAGATCAAACATTCAGATTTAGGAGTCTATGTTCTTGACAAGTGTAACTGTACATATAATCCTTCCTGATCAACATGCTTTCCAGTTACAGCACCTAACTACAAGATAGTATTTAGTGATTCATTCATAATGCATTCTCTTAAAAGCCTTTAAAAACAGCCTATATTAAAACAGCAAATGGGCTGACACAATTCAAGACAGCCTGCCACTCTCAGCAGATACTACTTTTCCCTATGGTAGAGCTGCAAGAAAAGAAAATACGTGTGTCTCTGTTCTTTCTTTGTACAAATCCATCTGAGATTTTACTCTGTCTGTCTGCAGTAACAGAGCTGCAGACACGACCTACTCTACTTAGGTCTTTTGTGGAGGCAGTTAGGTTATCAAGAGGGGGTCATGAGTCAGATGCAATTCACTGCAGTCAAGTTCAAAATTGCTCCACTTCATAGTGCATTTATCATAAGCCTCAGCGCCTGCACTGCTTTTCTCCCTTTTTTCCTCATTTTTTGGGGTGGGAGAGCTGACCCAGATCGGCTGTTGAAACCAAATTCTTTCTGTACAATTTGAACACTTCTTTTTCTTTTTGCTCTCTCCTCAGACATTCAGAATTAAGCCTCCTATGTGCATTACTAAGAGGGACGTCGACTTTGCTGTGGAAGTATTTCATACTGCTTTACAGAGACACATGGAAAGAGCAGCTGCAAAATAGACTTGGTTTCCTTCTATGACAGGCACACACAATCCCTGATACTCACAACCCAGACTGGGCACTAATCTACCCTGGAAGACAAAATCATAGTGTGACAATTACATGCTTGTTCAATATCATAAGAACATTCTGAGAGATAGTGTTCAACACAGGACGTGGTGTAATCTCTTTTCTAAATGTACAATTCACTTCTACGGTGCTGATTTCTGTGAACTGCACACCTATTTTGCCGTTGTCAGAAAAACCCTGACTGGATTAACAGAGTACCAAATAGAGGCAGGCATATGTTCTTCTTTCCCCTGTGAAAGTTGTATCAAAATCAGTAATTTTCAGAAAGAGTGACACAAAGAGTTGGGGAAGAAATTTCAGTTAAAACTGTTTACCCTGCCTACAAAGACACACTGTAATTAGAGCATTACAAGCAGTTTGCACAGCTGAGATGTTTCTAATTACAGTAATTATTTTTTTCATGGGGATAAGAAATCCAGTCATCACCCTCTCCAAAACACACTTCTCTTTTCCTCCTGCCACTCTTGGGATTGCACAGCACACCTATTAATCATTTTGTAAAGGTGCAAACTCTGGAAGGTGGAATAAGATGTTCTTTCTTACATAATCACCTTTTAATGTGTAAGACCATTGCTTCCTTCAGTTTCTAATTAAAAAAACAAATGTTGTGGACAGTCAGCAAGAACTGTGCATTTCTCATTTTACTTTTCTTCCAATTTTAATATATGAAAAAATCCTTGACTCAATAAAGTACCATGTCAAGTCTGGGGGAGGAGAATATTCTGACAGTACTTTACAGGAACTTTGGTGACAGAGCATCAGTACCTCTCCGAATCTTACTCCATAGGTCCTAAACAATATCATATAGCCTTTGCTGAGCACTGTCTTCTGCAACTCCATTGATAAGTCCTGTGTACAACCCAGTTCTACTCCAAAACCAGGTGTTATCCCACCTTTTTTCCTACTCAAGATCAGGCAGATTATGCCTTTAAACAGAAGTGCAGTGTCTCTCCTTAGAAATCAGAACAGATTCATTCATTCATGTCACTCATTGTTTTCTCCCTCACTTACTCCAGCAAGGCTGTTCCACTAGACTATTTTTTCACCAACACCTGCCATGGAGGTAGATATACAAAACCAATAGGAATTGTCAAAACTGATTAAAGAGCTTTGTCATCTAACTCCTTCCTTTCTGTCTGCTGCTTAATGTTAATTAAGTAATTAATTAGAAGAAGAACCCATGTCTTGGAGGTGCTTCATATTTGATAGCGGATCAAAGAATCAAAGAATATTCTAAGTTGGAAGGGATCCACAAGGATCATCAAGCCCAGCTCTTAAGTGAGTTGCCCATAGAGGGATCAAACCCATGACATGGGTGTTATTAGCACCATGTTCTCGCCAACTGAGCATAGGCCCTACTACTGGCTACACTCACCCTGAGCTGAGCCCTCTCAAAAGAAAAGCAACAACACACGTGTCAAAATAATTTATTATTTCCTCTGTGTGAGTACTTTATCCATGCAGGTTTTTACAGGAACACAGGGTGAGTAGCTTTGAATTACTATATCCCCACCTATGGTGTGAAAATTGCTGCTGGGTAAGGGGCTTTAGACAAGGTGGCTTTGTGGAGGGAGCACCCACCTGTGCTATGACACAAAACCAATCTATGATTAAAGGAACTCTGTCAAAAACAGAAGAGAGCACAGAGTCCTCCACAAGTGAACATTCCTTTTGTGCATCTTCATTTTTTTCCTACATTGGTACTTGACCTCTTTTTTAGCTCCAGACACAGGCAGTGTGCATGTTTCAGTTCCGTGAGAGTGTTAATGTACAATTCTGAAGACTGTCACTATAGCAAAGTTCTATCTGTTTTTACGTTTCTCTTTTTTGGTTTTGGCATTCACAGCCCCATTTACAGTCGGTGTTGTCGTTGCTCTTGCATGTCCTGTGGCTTTCAGGTGTTCAAACAATTTATTTCGGGATGGAAAAGCACTATTGCAGGTAACACAGTGGATGGGAACTTCATTCTACAAAGAGGAAAAAAAACCCAGAATGCTCACATTTGTACTGAGTATGTCATCAGTGCAATAAACCAATTTCTTGCACACAGTTCCTCCTTGGCAATGAAGTGGGAATAAACTGTTTGTTTCTATCATCAATATTCCGTTACTCATTAACAATTAAAAACGTATTTTGAAAAAAAAAATCACAAATACAACTTCATGAAATTTCAAAATGCTTTAAGTAAAACCAAGACTGGAAGTTTTGCAAATCTAATTCAAAGTAAAAACCAGTTTTTATCTCAGCTGACCATACTTTGGGCTCTGAGATGCAGTGAATTTAGTATGTGTTAGCTGTAGCTACTACAAAGTTTCATTCTCCAGCAAGCATCAATATTGAGAAAGATGCAAATAGTACTGCCTGTAACCTGCTGGGTGACAACAGCTCTGACCCCAGTTGTTTAATTTATTTGAACTGCCTTGCATGCAGAACTTTACCAACTCTCCTACAAATGAAGCTTAGTCCTGTATTCCTCTGTGAGGACAAGAGCTGAAGTTTGAGTTCTATTAAAATCACAGGGACAGAATTTGTGAACCAAATTGGCAGGTGACCAAAAAACAGCCTTCCTTATAGTTATATGACCCCACCTTTTAGCCACCCTATGAAGACAGGATGAGAGAGATGAAGAGAAGGCTTCAGGGAGAACTCATTGCAGCTTTCCAGTGCCTTAAGGGGGCTCAGATAAAGGAGGGAGTGTGACTTGTTTTACAGGCAGAGTGGCAAGACAATGGGCAATGGTCTTAAATGGACAGAGGGTAGGTCTAGATTACACATTAGGATGCAATTCCTTTACTGTAAGGGTGATAAGGCATTGGCCCAGGGAAGTTGTGGATGCATTATCTCTGGGAAGTGTCCAAGGCCAGGCTGGATGGGGCTTTGAACAATGTGGTCTACTGGAACTTGATGATCTTTAAGGTCCCTTCCAACCTATGATTTTGTTTTAAATAGCATAAGTAATTTGACATACCATTGTTGAGCTCTCCGAAGATGCCTTAGCAGACTTTTTTGCTTCCTTGGCTTTTTTCCCTTTAGGCTTAGTGCTGCTAACAGACAAAGAGGAACCAAGATCAGTGCACAGGAACATTAAACATTTACAAGCTTTTGATGTTTTTCAGCTTTCAATGGCTCTGCTGCTTTCCCCCTGTTCTTGCTTCATGCAACAAAATGTAGTGTATCCAGGAAAAAGAAAAATATGATCAATTGTTAATTTCAAAATGTTGAATCAGCTCCTGGGAAGTGATATGGCAGCAATCTGCAATCAAATACCACTTTCAGAGAAGCTCCTACTCTTTGGTTAGTATTGTATTTATTCAAACAAGTTTTGGTGGGCAGCCCCCAGACACCTCCGACTATCCCTGTCAATCTATCCTGTAAATGTATCCTTGTTTGACAGTATCAAACATGACACAGAATGACACAGTGACTGCAATGTTGCAACCCAACACACCTTTTTGCTTCACTTCTTGTTTCATTCTCTTGGCTGACATCATCTGTAATGCCTGTGTCCTCTGACACAGCACATCTTTGGTCATCATTTACCAACTCCTCTGTTGAGCCACTGTCCTTCTCCATGCTGGGCACCTCCTTCTGTTCAATAGTTTCTTCATCAGCACTTTGATCAAAAGAGTCCTCGTAACTCTGTCCAAACAGAAGAAATCCAAGTTAAATACTTTCAGTTCGTTAGTGACTATGCTTATAGTATTATACTCATTTACCTCAAACATGGCTGGGTTGGGAGGAGAGAAAGCCATGGACTCTCTTAATTTTACTGTGTGTTTTCACTGAGACTGTAACATGTAAAACCTTAGTTCTCCTGTTTTGAAAGATGAGGCCACCTGTGGTGAAGGGAAGAAACACCAATAAAATAGCCTCTGAAACTACAGAAGAGGAGAATGAAGGTATCTTTTAGCTACACACAGGGTTCATCCTGTTATGACTACCATTTCTTATTTCACAGATAGTGGCTTGGCTTGCAACTTTGCAAAAGGTTAATTACTTAGACTAAAGTTTCCATACCAGACAACTGCATTAGGACACTCAAGCCAAAATAACTGAGCTGACTGAAATTAGGTAGGCACACTGTATTTTCCTTTCCTAGCAGATACTGGCAACCTTTTCCATGTGCGAGATTAGATTCAATATATGCAGTTTAGCAAGATATCAACTCTGAAGCAGAACGGCAAAGCTCCCAAAAGCACAGTAACAAATTTGACCTAACACTACATTAATGCAACTCTTACCATCTCTCAGTATGACCATCTGTACAGTCTCAGTTACCTGAAAAAAACTTGGCTAATCCTAACTTGAGGAAAAGAAAATAAAACCCCCAGAGATTCACTGTACTCCACAACACTTGGCAGAGGATGGAGGTCAGGATTTCTCAGCACAAGATTCCAGTTTGTGCAACACAAGAGTGGCACCTACTGTCCAGGCTGTAGCAAACAGATGGAACAGAACTACGGTGACTATGTGTGAACTCTGCAGTGATAACAGACCTCCTGGTCTCAGACAGAGGAGGAAAGACATAATTGAAGCCTCATGGCCAGCAAAGAAACATGGAAGGTCAAGCCAATACTCAGACTATGCAACTGGACCAGCCAATGTGAAGCCAGGAAACTTCATCTGCTTGAAAGTCTCAGAAAAGTTTCTTAAGAGCAAGAGATAATGATGCAGTGGGAGAGGACAGAAAAGGTGAACAGAGAATAGGAAATTACAGGGGAAAGCATGGAAGAAGCAGGAACTGGTACAGACAGCTCACTGGAAGAAGGCTAGAACTGAGCAGTTAGTACTTGAAAAGGATAAAGTTTGAGGAAGGCAGAGAGAGGAGGTGTGCTGACTATGAAACTCCTGCCACTTGCACACTTGCAGTGAAACACTTGCAGTGTTTCAAGCCTGAAACAGTTTGCACTTGGTGAATCTCACACATTGCTGTCAGCACAGATCTCTAATATCACACACAGACTCAGATCTTGGAGTACCACAGATTGGTGTTACTTTTGTTTGCAGTTCAAGAAAAAGGTGGAATGCATGTGTTCATTCCAACAGCTACAGTGCCAGCAGGAAACCAATAGTGTGGCAGTGTTTTTAACCCCATCTAAATTAGAGATTAAAAAGCAATGCACTATACCAACTCCTGCAAATAAAGCCAGAAGTGACCACCAAACTGAGCTCCTAATGCACCAAGTCCACTAGTGGTCTTCCTGATCAATTCCTTGCATTCTCCCTATCTGCCTGTTTCCATCTGTTTTTTTTATAATTCAGACTACAGCCTTTTTAGAGTCAGCACCACATAATTCTGTGGAATTTCAAGTTCTCCTATTTTGTAGGACAGAAAAATAATTTATCAGGAGATAGCAAAACTGGGTTGTAAAGTTCCCAGAGTATCATTATGACTACATACCTTCATTGTTTTCTGTTTCTTCCTTTGTTTCTTTGAGAGTCTGTAAAGATAATTTAAAAATTACCTTTTTTATAGAAAACCCCCAAAACTACTAGGATTTCTAGAAATGTATCAAGCTATACTTTTCCTTTATCCACTTAACATAATATTGGGTAGCCACAAAAAGGAAGTTACTCATGCCAGAAATTAAAACAATAGGTCTCCCAAACTATTGAATGCATTTAGTAAAACATTTATTCTGCTCAGGCCAAACCCAAAGATACTAGTGAGATAGTTGGGATTATGCTCTGGTTGTTTAGAAAATGAAGCTGTGTAACAATTCTGATTTTGAGCACATTCATTTTCCATTTATGCCAGTAATCAACTGACAGCAAGTACCAAATCAATAAGCACTGGCTCTATGGAAGCCCCTCTACTTGAGAAATAACAAACCCTTCTCCTCCTTAACATAACTTTAAACAGCAGAGAAAACATAAGTCTGTTGTTCTACAGCACTCAAATGCAGTCATGCAAATGCATGTGTTTTACTGGAACTCTGATGCTAAGAAGTATTTTAAATTGCACAATACTGAGAGCAGTGCAGTGACAAATCATCAGAAGCTCCCACTGAAGGCCACTAAGATTTTGTAAATCATGAGTCATAATAAAATTAAAAACAATTTGAAGTACTTCTGTTTGGGCATGTCTTCTGTTTCTTCCTCCTCTTTGGTCTGTATTCCA